AGAGGGATTTGTTGTAATAGTGTTTGTAAATAGGATATCATGTCTGCATCTTGTACAGCAAATAACCACTAGGAAGAGAGTATGCAATGTGTTAATTATTGGAACTGTCATACCAATTTGATTTGAAACTGTCTCATTGCTATATGTCTCTCAATAAAATTATGGAAAAAAATAAAAAAGACCATTATATACAGTTAAAAAAAAAAAAGAAAACGGACATCTGCCACTCGACATCATCTAGCTCCCTTTAAAAATTAGCCATTAAATGCCACAAAACAGTGGATGCAATGGACCCAGGCACTGACCAGAGTAGATTAGGAAATAGGACCTTTTAGAATGGATTCTTTTTCAAAAACTGCTTCTTCTCCAAAAATCAAAACCACATGGAAGATGACTATCTGGGTGGCCAGTTTATTATCCTTCATTCCAAATGCTCACTACTAATGACAGCCAAGTACAGGAAGTTTCTGGAATGAGGGGTGATCCCTCAGCAGAGCGCAGCAGGAGCATCCAGGAGGTTGTGGCTGTGGGACACTTCCTGCCCGGGAAGTGAGCACTGCCTTCACCTTCGCCCTCACTTGGGCTTCAGGAGCAGGGGCCCCTCAGGGCTTAGAGAGCCCCACAAAGATTTAAGGGAAAGCGGGAAACTGCTACTATAAGTGGGGAGAAGTGTGAGGTGGAGATTTTACCAAAGCAGTCGCCTGAGGCAGCGTAGAACACACATCCCAAATTTTGGGCTAAGACATGACCCTGCCTGGCCATCTCCCATCAGATTCCTGAGACCAGGACAGAAAGGCACTGACTCACGAGCCATGTATCAGCAGGGCTTCCCTGGATGGGTCTTGGTGTGGTGAGACTAAGTTGTTTGAAGTTATATAAATACTGCCTGGCTCTCTCCTTAGATAGCTCATTATCGCCACAAAGCAAAGCATCTTTGACACCTTCCCTCCCTGTTCATCATGCAAGGCAGCTGCTCTTCCTCCACCCAAAACCACAAGCCGCCTCTCTCCTCCTCCTCCTCTTTCCACCCGTTCTTCCCTCTCACCTCTGCATGGCCTTTCTCCACTGCACCTATCTCCCTGCTCTGTCCTGATGGGATATCACCACAGCTCAAATCTGAGCTGGAAAAGGGGAGAGGGACAGCGCGCACACATCATGAGATGGCTCGTGTGAATGAAGACGCCCAGTGCCTTGGCCTCAGCCCCACCCCACTGGCTCTGCAGCATCTCTTGTGGGCTGCTGAGGAGTCCCTGCATTTTCCATCCTACCAGGTGGCCTCCTGACTCTGTTCTCCGCCTGTCTCCAGCTTCTCTCTGGCCCTTTAAGAACTGAAATCACCCAAACTGGAGCCCTGGGCTGAAACCCTGCATGGCTTCTTTTCCTCCTCAGATGGAGGGTAGGCGCTGCCAGGATGAGCCCGCCATCTCCACCCTGCTGTCTTTCAGTGTGTTCGCCAGCTAAGCCAGGCCTCTTCAGCACCCACAGTGTTCCTCGCCTCCTCAGTCCTGGGTCGAGATGCCCTTCTTCGCTCCCATCTTCCTTTCCCCATCTCACTAAGGCCAGCCCCCGTCACACCCTGGCTTTGGCCCGAAGATCCCCTTGGGGAAGCCTGCCCTTGCCCCACTCTAGGCTCCTCTGCCCCCACCATCCTCCCACTGTGGGCTCCCCTGTCACCTCCCTCTTCCCCACATCCTGCTGTGAGATTTCCTGTCACCCACCCTTTCTTTGTGCTGTCACCACTTCTGTCACTCCTGGTGGATTCTGAGTCCACAAATCTAGGCTCAGCTGTCTGAAAGCCACAGTGCTGACCTTTCCGTCTGTCCTCCAGGCAGACAAGTAGAGTACTAAAAACGCCAGAGCAGTTCCTGAGCTCACCAGAGAAGAGAACACATCTCTGGGCCAGGACCCGGCAGGCTGCACCTAGGGTCTTCTCTCCAGGTTGCTCTGTGCTGCGGATGGGTGTTGGCTGCTGAGTCACAGGCTCTGGCCTCCGTGTAGTATGGAAGCCACTGAGTGTCCTGTTGGCCTGTCTCTTTGATCCTGGTTAGCTTTGCTGCTTTGTAATAGGTGACCAGGGCAAAAAACTAAGACAGGCGAGAAAAAGGTGATTCCTCCCCCTGTTAGGAATAGCTAGCTATGCCAGAGAAGGAAGAGCCCCCACTCCATGCCCCAGGAAGAAGAGGGCCACAGACAAGCCCAGCCCTATGAAGTGTCCTTGCCTTTCATGCCGCACAGAGGCGGTATGAGGAGAAGCAGCTAGGGACGGCAGCTGGGGAGGAAGGACGGCTAGGAGCGGTGAGCCAGAGGAGAGTGGCTGCCGGGAGAGGAGGAGGTATTAACCTAAGGCCGAAACACCTACCCCACTAAACAACTTCTTATTGCCTCCTCCCCTAGTCCCTGGCAATCCCCTTTTTACTTTCTGTTTCTATGAGTTTGACTACCTCAGATACTGCACCCCATCCTGCCGCACTGCGCTTGCTGGTCCGGGACAGGCTCACTGCAGTGAGCACAAGGCATTAACGTTGGTCCATGCGGCAGGAGGCCTGTTCCAGTGCACGAACAGAGCACGTTTTGCTTATCGGCTCCTCCCTCAGTGGCCATTTCTACCTCTTAGTTATCAATAGTGCTGCTCTGAATACAGATGTGCGAAGATTTCTTCGAGACTCTGCTTTTATTTATTTTGTTGTATTTCTTGGAAGAAGAAGAATTTTTGTGGATCCTAAGAGGAGCCTAGAGTCATGGCCTTCCATTCGCCGTCCCAAGAGCTTATGGTTTATACCCACTGTTACTTACGCACACTGCGTCAGCTTATGGTTGTACCACTGCTGCCCTCCTGCGCCTCCTACCCACGTATGAAATTCTGGGCCTGAAGTCAGTTGTCCAATCTCTGATTCCTAAAGAGCAAGGAGTTGACATGTATCGAATGCTTATTGTGTGCTATGCATGAAGTGCCCTCTGGGGGGCACTGCGCAGAGGCAGCTGGCCGTGAGGTCTGGAGCTGGTTCCCCAGCAGCCATGCTCAGGTGGCATGCTCAGCGTGGGGACCACAGTGCCCCCACCGCAGCACGCGAGCCCCCAGGTCCTGGCCCGATGGCCGACACACCCTTGCGGCGTCCAGCGGGGCAGCCTGCTCACTCAGGTGTGCTTTCCTTCTAGGTGACTGAGAAAATGTAGCAGATCAACAGCTGAGGCAACACCTGCCGGGAGCTTGGAGTGGACACCCCCGCCCAGACAGAGCATCTGCCCCGGGTGTCCCTCTGGCCATCCAGCCTCACCATGTCAAAGAAGGGCGCAGGCAGCCGGGCCAAAGGAGACAAGGCGGAGGCTCTCGCTGCGCTGCAGGCCGCCAACGAGGAGCTGCGCGCCAAGCTCACGGACATCCAGATCGAGCTGCAGCAGGAGAAGAGCAAGGTGGGCCCTCAAGTCCCGACCCCAAATCCCCTTTCCCCTGCCCCCCTTCCCCACCTGCCCCAAGGTCAAGAGGCTCCACCCAGCGGGGTGGCTCCAGGTCTTTACAGAGGTGTTCCAGCCCCTTGCCCTGGAGGTCCCCAGAAGTTCTCAGGGTGGCTGGGAACAGACCGTGCTGGGGAGGAGAGTGGCAAGTGATGGAAGACTGAGGGTCCTGCAAGCGGGGCTGGCCATAAGCCCAAGGGTGCTCACAGAACCCTTGCCACATGGGACAGCCCTCCCACACAGGCATATGACACAGGACTCTGGAGGCTCTGTCAAATACCATGTCCTTGGAACTGACACTGACTTTCCCATGGAAGAGCTCATAGTGGCCTTGAACTGACTAGTGTGGGCCAATGTGGCTGCTCTGAGCGAGTAAAGGAAGACCAGCCATGGGCTTAGTGCTTCTGGGTGTAGAGGAACAGCACCTGGGACCGTCCTCTGAGATGCTGGAGCAGGACCTCTAGCGCTTTGAGGTTGTCACAGCCTACACTAGTGGGGCGCAGACCCCTTGGGAAGAGGCTGCAGGGCTTTCTCACTGCCAGGCTTCTGGCCCAGAGTTCCTCCATCCCTGGCATGCCTTTTCCCTCTCTTCCCACCCCACCCCGAAGCCCTTAGAAAGTGCATGTGAGCTTCCAACAAGGGGGAGGCAGGGAAAAGACATCTGGAGAGAGGGCAGCTTCAGAAAGAGGGTGGGCAGCCCAGGGCAGCTGTCTGGTCTCCTGGAAGGCAGGAAGGCTGGGGGTTATAGGTGGGTGTGTACCACTGGGGGTTGTACTTCTCTTTGCTCCCCTTTCCTGATCAGTAAAGGTGTTGCTCACGCTGGCCACATGGTCAGTGGCGGGGAAGTCAGGTTATTCTGGGCCAGCTGCTTGTCCTCTGAATGGCTTTCTGTTTTTAACCTCCTGATGCAATCAAACAAAGTCATGTTTTGTGGTATGTGATAATTACTTGGAACTCAGGTTCCAGTGATCATAAGCTCTGTTAGAACACACTTTCGTCCCCTCTTGATGTACTATTGATGGACTAGACTTAAGAAGCTTCAGATATTTACCATCTGGCACTTCACCGAGGTAGCTTGCTGGCCTTGCCCTAGTCCCAAAAGCTCTCTTGTGCAAAATGAGACAAGAGTGGCCCCCCATTCCAGGTGGTGCTGAGGAAGAAAGCTGGGAAGCCCTGGGATGTGACCTGCTCCCGGGTACTACAAGTGGGGGGCATGCAGATGCGCATATGTTAGGTTGGGGTCTGCTTTCACTCTCTGGAGGAAATGCCCACCCAGCGCCTTCTCTGTGGCTGGAGTTCCTAAAATCACAAACAACAGCACCCAAAGACTCAGGTTCACTGCCTGGTTGAGCATGAAGTCAGAGTACAAATGTCTCCTGCCCTAAATTAGGGAGCTGCTCCAGTTGGACAAAGCCCACACTTCCATAGTAGATCACGTGCAAAGCCACAGATGTTTATTTTGCCCTTTGGTCAATTGCATTTTGTAGGTGCAAAAATAAAAAAACAAAACAACAATAAAAAAAAAAAAGAATTGACTTGTGAAGAACCCAATTGGTAATTAAATCCTCTGTTTTACTGGATATGCCAGTCAGTAGTTTGTCCCTGTAACAAAACACCTAAGACAAACCATTGAAGGAGGAAAAGCTTTATGTGCCTCAGAACTTCGAATCTGTAGCCACGAGGCTCTGTGGCTTCTGGATTCAGAGTATCACAGCAAGGAACCTGCGTAGAATAAAGCAGCCTACTTTATGGAAGGTAGGGAGCAGAAAGAGCAGAGAGCGGTGGCACCAAAGGGACCAGAGACAAGATGCACCCTTGCAGGCATGACCAGTGACATACTTCTCTGGTCTAGACTGTCTCCTATGTCTTTCACCACCTCCCATGGTCCATTCAGTTATGAGCCCGTGAGTGCTTTAATTCATAGATGAGACCAGAGCGTTTATGAGACAATAACTTTCCCAAAGCACCACCGCTGACCCTTGCGGCATAGGTGACCAAGTCTTCAACACAAGAATATACGGGCAATGACCATCTCATGGAAGTTGCCAAGTGTAGTTCTTCACTCTACATCTCTAGATTTTCGGTCCACTCAACCACAGCGATAGCATACATATTTTTTTGTGTAATTTTGTCACAACACATTCATCTTGTAGTGCACTGAGGGGTGTTTTGCATGCTGATGGCATTTAGACGTTTTGATTCCTGTGGCCACAGCAGTGCTGTTCCTCGTGTTGAATCACATGTGCAGGGGTGCACGTAGGGCAGGTACTGGTGTGCGGAGTTGCTGGGCATCTCGTGACCATGTTTGCAGGCTGACAGTGGCTGCCCCAGGCTCAGGTGGAGCATAGAGGCTGTGGCAGGCACAGGTGGCTCAGTGGGAAGTTCCGCAGGCCAGATCTGTGTGTGACCCTCACAGGGGTTGGCTTGGGAGGAAGGTGTGGCTCAGTACTCTGAGGTGTTCTGTGGCCCTGGCAATTGATTGTACTTTTTCAAGTTCTTCTCTGGGCTTTGCATCTTCTTTCTGGAATCCATCCAGTATATGAAAGATCTGTATCTAAGTTAGTCTATGAGTCATTTTTTTTTTATTTTAATGTATTTTAGTACAGGGTCTCACTACACAGATTGAACTCGTAGTGATCCTCCTGTTTTCAGCCTCCCAAGCCCTGGGATTACAGGCATACACCACCACGCCCAGTCTCATCTGCCATCCCAGCGTGCCCCGGGGGTAGAGCCGGTATAGCACACTGGGGATCGAACCCCAGTTGCTGCGCTCCATCTAAGTAGGCACTTTAGTCCACTGAGCTATCTGGCTAGCCCAGCCTTTGAGTCATAATGGAGGAGAAAGAGACTGCAGAACATGTCTGAGAGTCTATAGGCTTCTCAGCGCTGGCCGCTCACCACTAAATGTGCTGAATTATTTTCTGCCGAGTATTTGCTGAACTTATGGCCAAGCAAGAAATAGAAAACCTTAAATTTTAAAATTAACAATAATTACTGGCAATATCATTCTATCAGTTGCTCAGAAGTCTTTTTTATGTATATGTTAAAATTAATATTGTGATTTTGCTGGCAGGACAAATTTGTGTAGGCAGCTCATTGTAGAACGAGTACCTTCCGTCCAGCTTTCAGCAGACTTCAGATGTTTCTCAAGCACACCACGGAGAACCTAGCTGTAGACTTCAGGGGAGGAGTTGATGGTCACCAGAAGGGACTTCCTAGGACAGATGGACTGTTCTCTACAAGCCCCCCAACCGTGCCTTAAGGGGACAAGGCCACACACACACACACACACACACACACACACACACACACAGTTGCCTGAGCTCTGGCTGGGCCTTGGGCCCCTACACCTCGATGGGTGTTAGGGTAGGATAGACTCACAACAGTTCAGGGGCTGGCAGGACACTCCGCAGGGTCCACGGATGCCCCGCACTAGCCTTCCCAGCCCTAGCTTCTTGCACCCCATGGTGGATGGGGGCCCAGACACTGGTTACATGAAGGTGCTCTGTCTTTTGGTAATGAAATCCTGGTTTAGCATAGGCGCTGAGCCCTCAGCCTCCGAGGGTCTCTGTTGTGATCCTGGCCTTACACCCAGCGGGGGCTCCCCTCCCCCTGCTAGGAGCACTCCGTGCCTTCATGCCACACCTGCAACTTCTCCTTCTTCAGACTGCAGGGTCCAAGGAGACGAAGGTCCCTGTCGAGTATGGAAAGAAAACAGCTTCTGTGCTTGTATTCTGCCCATAAAAGCAGCAGAAGCAAAGCGTTTCATAGTTTTAGTCCAGTGGTTGATTTATCACTGGAGACTACCTGATTTGAATGAATTCTGACAATAAAAAATAAAACTAAATAAAAACAGGACTCATCCCCAGACACCAGCCTCCTTTGGGAAATTTAGCTGGGGCCATCACCAGTGGAGATCACCCACCTTGCCACTGGGAGGAGGCGGCTCAGAGGCAGGGAACCTCACCTGTGCATTCCTCACAGAAATATCTCAGACTGGGCTCACAAGACCTTAGAAAGAACGAGGCGTGGTTCCCTTAAAGCAGGGGAAGAGGTAAAAATGACCACGAGGGATGTTGCCACCACATTTCCTTAATAAACTCCAGGGTCCGCATAGGCCCTGCTGCCTGCACTCCCAGGGCCCTGGCCACTGCCCTGACCTGTGTCCTTCAGCTCAGGAATGTTCTAGAAACTGAATTAAGGAGCTGGTGTAAGAAACAGAGGAAATATGTCCACCAGAAAACCTACCTTTTAGAAAGTGCTCAGAAAGCACGACCAGATCCTGGTTGGCCTGGGACAAGGGACCTGTGTGACAGGAGACTTCTGCTCCCTTCCCAGTGCCCACCCAGGAAGTATTTACTGAGCAGCTCCGTGGGCAGCTGCTTGTCCTATGCAGGGTTACAGAAGAAGGCAAGGGGAGGGAGAGCCAGCAGGTGCCACGGGTGGTGCCGCGGTCACATCTGAAGATGCGGCCTTGAAGCCAAGATCCTGCTGAAAAGAGGAAGAGCCAGCATGGGTGGTTCCAGAGGGCAGCGAGTGTGGCCAGCCTGGAGGATCGTGAAGGCCAGACAGCATCCACCTTTAATGAGAAAGGGTGGAGAAAGGGTCAGGTCAGCAGGGCTACGCAGCTGGGTGCAAGCAGGGGCACGAACAGTGATTCTCCAGATCAGGATACTGCAGAACAAATGGGGCGTGATAAATAACCATACTCAGACAACATGAAACACCCATCGTCCTGGGCCAGTGAAGACCTTTGGGATCTTGCATGGGTGTGGCAGGGAGCTTGGGCACACCCCAGGTGCCAGCAGCCCCTGACGTCTTCAGAGCTGGACATGGTCTGATTGATAAGGCTCACATTCATGTAAGTATAGATACATGTCTGAATATAGTTGTCTCTGTGTCCATGTGGGTCTGGTTCCAGAGACTCCCCATCAATACTAAAGATCTGTGGATTCTCA